GCATTGTAGTTCTCCTCTGAGAGGGGTGCGGGCCAAAATGGGGCATGTGGGCCATTTTGGGATGGTTTGTGGCCTGTTTTGGCCTGTTACTTGGGCTGTTCTGGACCTGCTTTTGGGGCATTTTCTACCCATTTTCCAGCTGTTTTTGCCCTATTTTTTCCATCCCATTTCCAGCCCACTTTGGTCCATTTTTGGCCTGTTTGGGGCCCATTTTTTGATCCATTTTTGCCCCATTTTCACCCCATTTTGGGCCTATTTTCTGGCCTGTTTTGGCCCATTTTTGGCCTGTTTTGGGCCCAATTTTTGGCCCAATTTTGGCCGGCAGAGTGCTACAGGAGGCCATGGAGGATGAAAATGAAGCGCATGGGGGCCAGACACGGCCTGTTTTAGCCACCTGAGGCACTGCAGGCCAGTCCCTTGATATATCCTGGCTGGCCCCATGGGCTGGATTTAAGCACCCTGTGAGCTGGATCTGGCCCACAGGCCTTGAGTTTGATACCTCTGATTTAGAAGAATAAGGGATGTGTAGATCTAGTTCCACTCTGTCAACTATTATGAGCTCAGAATAAACTTCTCTCCACTTTCTAAGTTATGCATATGAAAGGTTTACTTACGCTCTTATATTATATCCAGATTTCCTGGGTTGTATCTAATTTCCTAGGAAAAAATATTAATTTTTTCTACATAAATGTTTAATCATCTGATACAAACATATATCAGATTGAATGTTTTCAAGAAAATAAAATGCCAGTGAGTGTTATTTTGTATGTTATTTCTTTATTTGATAACTAATACTAGTTAATATTTAACTGTAAAAGACCTATAATGAAATACTGCAATGCATAGGGTTCCTGTTCAAGAAAGTTAACCTTTTTTGATAACTCGACCCTGGACATAATTGGTATTATTCTGACTGCTTAAGGACTGGTAGTCTACAATTTAGATAAAAGTTGGAATATGTGGGGTCAAGTTTTATTTGAGATTTTAAAAAAATATTTTATTATAAGCTGTCAGAGAACAGCAAATCTTAGAAAAAGAAAGAAGAGCAACGCTTCAGTATGAGAAACAAATAGAAGAAAGATGGAAGAAGTTGGAGGAGCAGAGACTGAGGGAGGAGCAAAAGAGGGCAGCTGTGGAAGAAAAAAGAAGACAGAAGCTTAGAGAAGAAGAGGTAGGCAGTTGGATGCAGCATTATTATTACCATATTTGCTGGAATGTTGGTTTGGAGAAAATATTTGAATATGATTTTTTAAAAATATATTTTTAAATTCATGATCATCTAGTGCTTAGAATGTTTTCTTTGTTTGATAAAATGTAGCTAGCTGTCTGCTCAGCATACAATTTAGGATAATATCCTTATCAGTAAAAAAGTGATAAAAGAAAAACATAAAAACATAGGGATCTGAAGAGCAGAAAAAATGCAGTCAACAGGAGAGCATTCTTTCAAGACAATAGTATTAGTGTTTTAAATTTTTTGTGGAGTAAAGATTCTGTATGTGTTTTTAATACTTCAAAAATGTATTCCTATTAAGCATCAGATTTGATAGAAGAGAATTAGGCACCCTTTTGAGTTAGTAGAGTTGAGTCTGATTCTTTGCTGTGGTTATATTGAATATGGGATGTCATGAGAGTTTTTAGTTGCTATTTTATAGATTTAAGGTTGTTTTTTTAAATGTTGGTTGTTTTGTATTCTGTTTTGTATATGCTTTTAACTATTATCCACCCAGAGCCATGCATGTGAGATAAGTGGCCACATAAAATAAATATCTGCAGCTTGGTGTAGGGTCTCCTGCTGGGGCGGGGGTTGGACTAGATGACCTACAAGGTCCCTTCCAACTCTGTTAATCTGTATCTAGTTTATGTGCCATCTGCCTTCAGTAGAGAACAGCTTTCTTTGGTTCATATGTACTTGCCAAATGAAAGAATAGCCAGGCAGTTTTGTGGCACTATAATAGGTGATACATCCCTATTGTAATCAGATATTAGGTTCATACTATCATATGTGGTGGACATGCTCAAGGGCAAAAAAATATTGGACTAAAATACATGGTTAGAAAAAATGATAAAGCAACATACAGATTTGAAACCAGACATATTCTTTTTGGATATATTACCAGAACAGTATAACAAAGGGAAAATATACTTAATTTTACATGTATTAATGGCAGCAAGAATTATGTGTGCACATCGGTGGAAAAATGAAGAGTTCTCTACAGATGAAAGTGTTATAAAAATATTAGAATGTGCTGAGATGGATAGAGTAACACTTAAAAGAAAAGGAAGAAACAGAATACTTTTCAACATGAGACTTGTTTTACCAATGGTTAACTAGTAGAAACAGAGATTAGAATCTAAAAAGATCAAAAAGATAATCAAAAAATTGTACTGAAAATTTTGTAAGATGGATAAACTAATTGTATTACTATTTTGCAACTATTACTGATATGCTTATTATGATTAATGTTGATTTAATGTTGCATTTCTACTTAAAACTAATTGTGCCCAGGCAACACACTGTTTAGACAATGTGGAATTTTTTTGTGTATAAAAAAGTAGTAATAAAACATATATATAAAAGTAAAAAAATAGGTGATACACACACACACACACACACACACACAAGTATGAGTATGGAACAAGTATTACATAAGAAGAAGTAGATAGATGCTCTGAAAAATGAGGATGGGGGAAAAACCTCTTATACCTGACTGAATATATTATGATTAGCAAAGATTAAGGAAATGAGAAAGATGCTGCAGCCATATTAGATAGAGTGGTTGTAGTGCCGTGTTTTCCCCAAAATATGACTACCCCAAAAGTAAGCCCTCCCCTGAATTTTTTGGTGAGCCTAATATAATCCCTACATCCCAAAATAAGCCCTAGTGAAATGGGTAGACATGGCCAGCACAGGAGGCAGGCCTTTCCTCCCCTGATCATCTCAGCCACTTAATCGCGGTCCATGGATCAGCTGAGTGTGCATGAGAAAGAGGAACAATGGAGAGGAGTAACAAGAATTGCAGGCAATGCTGTTTGAAAGGGTTTCCTCTTTGCCATTTCTCTTTCTCTCTGTCTCTCTCTCTCTCACACCCACATATACACACAGACAATTGATAAGAAATGGCAGAGAACAACTGGGTAAGGGGACTGACCCTCTCCCACCTCCAGCTCGACACCTGCTCAGGGTGGTGCCCCAAGGCCTGGCCTCTGCGTGGGTAACCCCCACCTGGCCAACATGACAAATGGGCTCCCTCGCAGCGCCTCCTTTCTCACATGAAGCAGCAGCTGGTGAGGGCTTCATCTGCGTGGCCATGAAGCAGGATTAGCATGGCCGATTCTAACCCACAACATTGGTGGACAGGTTTGGGTCAAAGCTGCTGGTGGCCAAGATCAGCAGGCCAGACTCGGTGAGCCAGAGGTGCTGTGCACATGCAGCTGCCGCCCAGGAGGAGAAGAGCACACTGCGGCCCAAACACTGAGCCTTGCCAGCCTTGGAAACCAGGGATCTTGCAGGCACACTGGCCATGTACAGGCCACCCAAATCCCCAGGTTGTTTGCAACTCGAGTGAGCCATGCAACCGTCCACCCCAAACCAAGCAGCAGGGAGGCTTCAGGATGACACTTGGGACTGCCCAGCCAAGGACAGCACCTTTCTAATGCCCGCTGTCCTGGCAAAGGTGAAATGGAACCAGGTGGAGACTGCATGGGGACCGCTTCCCTACCCCTGGCACTGTGGAAGTCCTGGAGCAGTGTTGGGAAGCTGGGGGTATCCTAGGATTGCAACACTGAAGACTCAGGATGGAGCCTTTTCTGCAGTCGGCAGGAAAATCTGACCCTGCATGTCTTATGTAAACAGCAAAACTCTCACCCCTTTCAGAGTCTGAATGTCCTCCACAAAATAGCTGAGCTGGGCCTGCTAAACAACTGATTTTGTTTTGCAGAGCCCGTTCAGGCTCCGAAAAGGGTGACAGCTCTGCTGAGCTGAGCCTGCATGTCTTCACTAAACAGCATTTGCCTGTCGAGCCTTCAGCGTTGCAATTCTGGGATACAAACACACAGAGATTTGATTGGATCACCCTCTGCTTCCGCCTGCTACCAAAGCCATCCCGCCGTGTTTTGGAAGGGAAAAGGTGCAGCTGCTGTTGCCCATGCTGGGGTTTGCACAGCGGCAGCAAGAGACCGCAGGATTTGTTTTTATCTCCCTTCCAAAATATGCTAGGAAGGCACCGGCAGCAGACAGAGGCAGAGGGTGACACAATCTAACCTCTCTTTGTGTCTTTGTGTGTGTGTGCATGCGCTTGCGCACGTGCATACATAAGAGAGAAATCCGATCCAACCTCGAAGAGTTACTATGTACCAGGGCTGGCAGCAGTGTGTTCACTCTCTCTTACACATGCATACAAACACACACAGAAAGGTTTGATCAGGTTGCCCTCTGCCTCCGCCTGCTGCCAATGCCATCCCAGCATGTTTTAGAAGGGAGAAGAGACGGCTGCCATTGCCTGTGCTGGGGTTTGCACAGCAGCAGTGAGAGACTCCAGGATTTATTTTTATCTCCCTTCCAAAACATGCCGGGACAGCACCAGCAGAGGCACAGGGCTGCCCACTCTGTGTCCAGCTTGTGCTGCAAGCTCATTTCAGGAAAGAGCCAAGTCCTGCTTTTCGCTTTTGATGTGCTCGCCACTCATTCGTAGCAACTGGCACGAGTGACTACCAATGCAGCCACTGGCCTGGCGGGAGCTCTTCGCCCTCCTGGCAGAGCTGCTCTCAGCTGCCCTGCTTCCCTGCTGGGCTGCTCCTGCCTGGTGTAGGGCAAGTCAGTCAATATCTACAACCTTTGGAGTGCCCCCCCCCCCACTGGCCTGCCAAGGCCCCTTAGCCAATGGTCACCAGTACAGCCATGCCACCTCACCTGCTTCACATTTGGGCTGCTGATCACCTTCCTGCAGGTCTACTCAGTGCTGCAGGTGCTGGGCTATGAGCTCAGCCCGGTGCTCTTTGGGCCCTGGCTCTGGTGGGTGCTAGCTCTTGTGCTGGCTGTGTGCTCCAGGATGCTCTGGAGATTGTAGATCTGGGACAACTCACCCCACACCAGGCAGGAGCAGGCCAGCAGGATGGCCCAAAGCAGTGCTGCCAGGAAGGGCAAAGAGCCCCCATGAGGCCATCAGCACAAGCACCTGCTCGGCCACCAGTGGCTAAAAGTGTCCCAGTAGCAGTAGGGCCAGCAAAGAAGGGCAGGTGGAGGCTGAGGCACGCCAAGAACTTTGTTTGAGGTAAGACTGTTCTTGAAGCGGGCGTGAGGTACGTGGGGCCTCCTGCTGCTTTTGCAGTCTCAATTGGCTGCAAAAGCAGCCATAATTCTTTGAGGCATTGGCAGATCAGCTGTCCTGTGGACCAAGCTTCTGGTAAGACCGTTAGGCAAGGAGGCAGAAAGGCAGCTCGCCTCCACCATTTGATACATGGGGGGGAAAATAAGACCTCCCTGAAAAAAAGCCCTAGCCATTTTTTCGGGGGGTCAAAAGAAAATAAGACCCAGTCTTATTTTCGGGAAAACATGAAATTAGCCAAATTTGGCCACAATCATATCATATATGTAGAAACCAAGCTAGGATTTTGTTTTGCTTTTTTTTTGATAAAATGATAATAATTTATATTTACATTGATTCCATCTTTTATTCAAACAGTGTGTCGACTGAGTACATACTTTATATCTTGTGCTAACAATTATAATTATTACTTTTCTTACCAATAATCACATTTTCTTTATAAGCCATTATCTCTTATATCTATTATCTTCATAATAATCTTATTTCTCTATATATTCCTCTACTCAATTTTAACTTAAACCATTGATAAAATAAGTCCCATGCCATATAGTATTCAGTTTCTTCTTTTTCTTTGATTGCTAGTTTTAATCTATTCATCTCTGCACGTTCAAATATTTTCTCAATCACTTTTCCCTCTGCTGATATTTTATCACTTTTCCAATTCTGAGCAAATACAATCCTAGCTGCTGTTAATACATGAATAATTAAATATATTTTTTCTTTGCTGTAACATTCAGGTACCATCCCTAATAAAAAAATACTTCAGGTTTCAAATCTGTGTGTTTCTTTATCATTTTTTCCAATGATGTGTGTATTTTTGTCCAATATATTTTAGCTTCTACACATGTCCACCCCAAACGATAATATGATCCTGGTGTCTGGTGGCACTTCCATCATTTTGCTGATTTATCTTTAAACATCTTTGCCAGTTTTGCTGGTGCAAAGTGCCATCTATAAAACATCTTATACAGATTTTCTTTGTATGCTGTTGATATTGTTAATTTATAATTTCTTTCCCATAGCTTCTGCCATTTGTCTAATTCTATGGTATACCCAAAAATTTTCGCCCATCCTATCATCGTTTCCTTTACCTGCTCTTCTTCTAGTTTAACACCTAGTAAGTAACAATACAATTTTTTAAATAGCTTATCTCTCCATTCCTGTTAAAATTTTATCCAACTCTGTCAACTCCTTATGAATACCTTCAGTTTTAACATATTTTTCATATCTTGATTGTATTTGCTTGTATGGATAGCAATTCATATTAACCCCTTGTTCATTCAATTCTTGTTTTGCTTGAGCTCACCCTTTTCATTCAGAATATCTTTATATCTAACAGTACTTCCCATTTTAAAAACATTTGTGTGTGTAAGTACTTCCATTGTCGATAACCAGACTGGAATTTTCAAATAGTGTTGTTCTCTAGTTTTTTCCCATGTTAACAATAAAGCATTTCTAATAAAATGTCTTTGAAAGTAACCATGTATTTTATTTCTCCCATACCATAAAAAGGTGTGCCAACCCAATTGCAAATTGTGCCCCTCCAACATCAATAATCTTGTATTTCTTAAAGTAATCCATTCTTTCATCCATGTTAGTACTGCAGCCTGGATTTTGTTTTGCTTTGTTGGGTTTCTTAACCTGCCACAAATGCCAGGCATGATCTTCTGACACAAAAGTATGAAACATAGCAGGAAAAATTAAATATCTTGCATAGTTATCAAGAGCTGTGTCTCCCTGTGAACAGTCAGATTGAGATAGGTTATCTATGGACAGCAATTTGATGGAGATATTCAAAGCCCTGTCATTGAGGTTCATCTCTTATTGATGACTCATCTCTTATTCACATCATGAATTTACAATTAAAATGGTCAGACTCAAAACCCAAAAATGACTCTTGGCAATTTTTCCAGTCTGAGTTCTTTATTGTTTCACACCTGTAGACAAAATTTTGCCAGATTGAGGAAGCTACTGTGTGCATTTACAATATACTCTGTGAACTATTAGAAGCTGTCTTCACCCTCTTTCTCACATAATATCTGGGCTATGTTACCTCTTCTCTGGAATGCATCCTCTCCCTCCTGGGGATCCATTTCATCATTACATTACATTACATTACTAAACTTGGTTAATATCAGTTGCTTGTGGGGATGGATATTTGCCAGGTCTTGACATTGGCTAAGGAATTTTTTAGTCACCTTTACTTAGGAAAACTAGTTACCTTAGATGCTAAGTACTGTACTTGTCAACTTAAATGTCAACTACTAAATTACTGTGTATCCATCAACATAGTAACTTATAGAAGGAATTACTTAGTGCCTGCACCAAGAAGTGTTGCAAAATTGCTTTATAATTTTGGTTTATGAAGCTCTGTATAGCTATTTCTTTGTTTCAGATTACTATTTTCTTTACTTAACCTGTGCACCATCTTGATAGTCTCCTCTTGTTATTATTACTATTTTATAAAAATGACCAATGTATATATATAACATACTAGCTTGATACCCATGCTTCACTACGAAATTATGTGGTTGGGCTTAGTTTTTGGAGAGGAAGGAGAAAAAATTGTGCCTCTGCCTACCAACATCCATCAGTATTCACCTGGCTAGCGTCCTGTCACTGTATGAGAGAGTTGAGGGCTGTTTGGAAATTGATACAGTATTTGCTGTGTGAGCAAGAAGGAGGCAGCAAGGAGCCTGGGTGTGGCTTAGCTCAACTGTTCTGTACTAAAAGCGGTACTAAAGCTCTGAAACTGAAACTCCTCTCCTCTGCTTGTGTTTTGCATTTGGAACAGATTTCTTTTCAGGTGAACAGGGGGAGTAGAACTCCTTAGCATCAGAGCATGTTAATAATAACAAAGAAATACTAAGGCTCTGATGGTCATTTTGAAAAATCCTTTCTTAGTGAGCACCTAGAAGTCAAGAGGAACATATGTGCCAAATTTCAAGTTTGTAGGCTTTACAGTTCTGGAGATTTTGTGATGATGCGTGAGTGGTATTTTGTTTTTATATATATAGATTGAACCATTTTTATCAGAAACATTTCTGATCATGGGTTCATAATCATCACTGATTCTTGGTAATAAGTAATAGGTACTAGGTTAGTGTAATGATTAAGATGTAGGATTAGGGGATAATTAGGTTCTAGTCTATTTAGCTCCTTGAATAACTTTGGGACAGTCAATATCTTTCAGTCTAATATATTACCTATGATTATTGTGAAAAAAGAGAAGGAGTACACCTACCACAGCTTCTAAAAGATGTGTTGTATCGTAAGCATTGTTACAAAATACAAAAATAGTTCTGCTGTAAAATAGTTCTGCTTTGATGCTTTTATTTTAAAACGTATTACCAAAATATAGGTTATTAAAATGAAAGATTGAAAGGAATACTTTTTTGTTATTGGAATATTTGTTTTTTGTTAAACTATGAACAGAGATAAATGGAATAAATATGAAAAAAATAGTAATTATGATAAGTCTATTAACCATGTTTAATTAATTTATAGAATATAGTTGAAATGAATCAGGATTGTTGTAATGAGATTAATATAAGTTTTTATGATGAATTGAATAGATTAATTTTTATTTTTGATGTGAAAATGTGGAATCTGACTTAAAAAGTATATATGTTATGTAGTTGCTAGGAGATTATTGTTATTAATTTTTAAGGTGACAATTAAAAAGTTAAATGATTACTGGGATCTAAAGGGGAATTAATTAAATAAGGTATAGGGGTGGCACACTCTAATTGGTAATTGTGGGGAAAACTTTTTTGAAATGTTTGAGCTGAGATGGAATTTTTGAAATGATGAAATAACAATATGCGATGAAATTGCAAACCTGACAGATAAAAGTATAAAGCACAACGAATATGAATATATAAGAATTATTTAAAGTCAAAAGAAATAGGTTAAGAAATGAATTGAAAATTTATAAAATAAGCTTGAGGAAAGTATTTGGGAAAATTAATAGAAAATATGTAAAGTAATGATAAGATATGAAACTAAATGTGAAAGATGAATATGTGATCAAAGTCATGTTTGTATGGAAATGTAAAAACCTGGAATCATGCTGTTCACTAAAAAAATATGTTTTTAAAATGTGGAAAACTGATTTTTTTTTTTAAAGTATTACCAACTCAATATCTCTCAGCCTCAGAATATGGCATGAGCAATAAATACAATCCACAATAGTTATGAATAAATATCATTGCTACATCATAAATGGAAAGCTTCATCCTTATAAAAATAAAAGACAAGATTGCACTACATAAGATCAATCTGTTACCAATATCAGTTTCATTTGGAAACAAGTGATGACCTGGCTATTTTCTGAAGATGTATGTGAAGATAATAAATATGTTTTATTAAATGTATTTAAAAACAACAAAGCATGCCACTTCATGAGTTCAAGCAAATTTGCATGAATTCCTATGCCTAATCATCTGTGTGCATTTTGCTTGAATTATGGTTAAAGTTAAATCGTGGGCGAGAGAACGCGTGGGAGGGTCCGATTGTTTACTCCTGTTTATTGCATCGTTCAGAACAAAGAACAGCAGCCACAGCAGCTCCTTTTACAGTGGAGCTGCTGCGGCTACAACCAGTGACGGCTCTTTAATTTCCCACAGCCGTAGACCAACCAATCAGAGGTGCATATGTAAATATCTAACACCTCTCCCCACCTGGTCCAGCTCACCCAATCCTGTTCCGCCTACTGTATGTAATCCCTCAAATAGGCAGGGCTCTTATGGGTGCGACCGGACCTGCGCAGCTTAGTCATGAGTTGGTCTCCGAACTGTTTGGCTGGACTTACTGCCTCTCCTGCTCCCCTCCTTGGAACCTCCTGGAATCTCCTCATCATGTGGCCATTTTACTTCCACTAGATGCCACCCTTTCGCTTTCTTCCCTGGTTTGTCGTTGCCTGTGTGTGTCTGATAAGTCTCTGCTATGATCTGTCGGTGTTTTCGGTGCTATTCTTAGTTGTTGGGGTTGTGCTTCATTAGTTGTCAGGGCCTGTTCTGTATTATTCTTTGTTTGATCAGGGTCTCCCCCTTCCTCTCTGCTTCTAATGTATATATGTGAAGGGGCTTGCCCTTCCTTCCTGCTTATATCTGTGTATCCCTTTGTTCCCCAGGTTTATAGTTGATCAATGTGTCTTCTCCAGCTTCTGCCATCCATTGTATCGACTCTGTACGAATGGGGCCCCGTTACCTGTACCACCGTTGCCAGTACCCATAGCGGTTCCACTGTTAAATTTTTAGCATAGACTGAATCACCTGTTTGGAACGTCCGGCATTTGCTGGATGAATCTAGTGGTCTTTTTGGCATGTGATTGGGGTCTACTCAGTCTAAGGGTGATCTCGGTTTCTTTCCCATGAGTAGTTCAGCAGAGCTTTTATTTGTTGTTCTAGGTGTTATGTGCTGTATACTTAATAGCTTATCTATTTCACTTGCATGTCCCCTGACCCTAGTTTCTGAAGTGTTTGTTTCTTCTTTTTTTAAATAATTTTTTATTCTTTAAAAAACAAAAAATACAAAAATCTCATTTCCATGAACAGTTATTGTGTCATTGTATATACATGTTTCTTGTTTTGTAACTATACATTATTTTTATCCCTATTCTTCACCCATTCGTACCACCTCTCCCATATCGCACAGTATTCTCGATCCTCTTTGCCTTTCAGTTCCATAGTGAATTTATCTAGTTCAGCACAGTCCATTATTTTTTGAATCAGAACTTCATTTGGTGGTATTTTATCACTCTTCCAATTTTGTGCTAATGTGATTCTTGCTGCAGTTAAAATGTGTACAATAAGGTATCTTTTACCTCTACTCAAATTCCCTTTAATCATACCTAATAAAAATGTTTCGGGTTCCAATTTCTTTTTTTTTTTTTAGAAAAAAACTTTATTAATTTTACTTTTAAAAAACAACAACACAGCTACAAATTATATACAACAAAAAGACAAACAGGTCTTGGCATAGGCCAAGAGGGAAAGAGAGGAAGGCTTGAGAGAGGAAAGAGGGAAAGGTAAGGGAAGGGGGGGAAAGAGTAGGGAAAACAATTATAATAAAACCATATTTTTTGTGACTGTCTGTAAGGTCCTTTCTTCTTCAAAACTATCGTCGGCGGTGCTTTTCTTTATCTCTGCTTTGGAGGCCCTCGGCCTTAATTTTCCTAGAGGTGATCTATCTTTGGTTTAGCCAATTATACAAAGGATTCCAATTGCTATAATAGGTTGAGGATTCTTTATTTTTTAACGCTTGGGTTAGTTTGTCCATTTCGGCGCATTGTAAAATTTTCTGAATAACCATAAGTTCAGTGGGGATAGAGGGTAGTTTCCAGCACTGGGCAAATGCCAGTCTGGCCGCGGTTAAGATATGGATTGTAATATACTTTGATTTTTTGGATATTTGTTTATCAAAAATTCCTAGAAGGAAGGACTCTGGTTTGTACTCAATTTGTTCCTTGGTTATTTCCTCTAGGCAGTGCCTAATTTTTTGCCAATACTTCTGGGTTTCCTTGCATGACCACCACATGTGGAAAAAGGTACCTTCTATGTTTTGACATTTCCAACATTTGGGGCTCGTGTTGGGGTGCATCTTCGCCAATCTCGAAGGGGGCAGGTGCCATCTATAAAACATTTTATATGAATTTTCTTTATAAGCTGCTGATTTCGTGATCTTAATGTTCCTGTTCCAGATCTTTTCCCATTCTGCTAGGGTAATGCTCCGACCCACGTTTCTGCTCCATGCAATCACATTTCCTTTGACAATTTCTTGTTCTAGTTCTGTTTCTAATAAATGTTTGTAAAATTTAGATATATTTTTTTTACTCGGTCCTAATAGAATTTTGTCTAAAGTCTGTAATTTATTGTAGATTCAAAATTCCTTAATGTCTTGTTTGTATCTACTATGAATTTGAAGGTACACCCACTGATCAATTATAAATCCTCGCTCTTGTAATTCTTGTCGTGTTTTCAGCTTTCCTTGTGGGTCTAATAAATTTTCGTACTTCATCATTTTGGTTATGTCTAAATTATTAGGGTGTACTATCGCTTCCATTGGAGATAGCCAAATCGGTATTTTTAGATAAAGTTTTTTATGTACTTTTTTACAATTAGTTAATAAAGAGTCCCTGATAAGATGCCTATGGAAATATGATTGCCTGGGTTTCCCAGTTTCCCACAGAAAGGCATGCCATCCTTTCTGCATATCGTGGCCTTCTAATACTAGTGTTCTTTTGTTGGTTAGATTCACCCAATCCTTTATCCATAGTAGGGTGGCTGCCGTATGATATATTTCCCAGTTTGGCAGGGCTAACCCTCCTCTGCTTTTCGCATCTTGTAGGGCTTTTACGTTAATCCTAGCTTTTTTCCCCTGCCAAATAAATTTCAATGTTATCTTGTTTAGTTCCATAAAAAAATTTTTATTTCATTTGATTGGAATTGTCTGGAATAAATATAGAAATTTTGGCAAAATATTCATCTTAATCAAAGCAATCCTGCCCAATAAGGAAAGTTGTAATTTACTCCAGGAATCTAAGTCTTTCTTGGATTGTTGGAGAAGTTTGTCATAGTTATTTTCTTTTAACGATTTGCTTTGTGGAGTTAGCCAAATTCCTAAGTATTTAATTTTTTTTGTCACCTGTATTCCCATTGTTGTCTCTAGCTCTTTATTCTGGTCTCCTGTTAAATTTTTAGTCATTAATTTCATTTTTCCCCTGTTTATTTTAAATCCTGCGACTTCTCCAAATCGTTCTAGTTCTTCTAATAAGTTGTGTCCTTTTTCTATGGGCTCCTCCAGAAAAAAAACCAAATCATCAGCGAAAGCCTGTAGTTTATATTCTTCTGATTTAATCCTCAGACCTCTAATTCTCAAATTTTGCCTAATGTACGTCAGAAGAGATTCTAGGGCGAATATGAAAAGCAGAGGGGAGAGAGGGCAACCCTGTCTTACCCCCTTTTCTATTTTTATCGGGCCAGTTTGTTCCCCATTTATTAGAATGTTTGCCTGTTGAGTGTGGTAAATTGTTGTGATGACATTTTCAAATCTGGTGCCAAGATTCATATTATATATTTTTTGAATTAAGAAATGCCAATTTAAATTGTCGAATGCTTTTTCAGCATCCAAGAACATAAATGCAAATTGTTTTTCCGGGTGGGCTTCATAGTATTCTGAAATGTCTATCACTGTTCTTAAATTATTCTTAATTTGTCGAAATGGGAGAAATCCATTTTGATCTTCATGGATATAAGTGTTTAAAACCTGTTTTAATCTATTGGCTATTATAGAAGAGAATAGTTTGTAATCTGCATTCAGGAGCGAAATTGGTCTGTGGTCTAGGTCCTCCTTCGGGATCAGCGAAATTAAGGCTCCCCTCCACGAGTCCGGCATCTTGGCTGCTAAGAGTACCTCATTAAATACTTCCAGCATCAATGGTCCAATTTGTTCTATGATTGTTTTGTAAAGTTCTATCGGTATCCCGTCTGGTCCTGGTGCTTTATTGTTACTTTGCTTCTCTATTGCTGACTTCAGTTCGGACCATGTTATATTTTGGTTTAATAATTCTATCTCTTCCTCTCCAATTGCTTTATCATTCGCTTCCTCCAGGTATTTCATTATTTTATCCTCACAGACTTCTTCTTTTTTGTATAATTTCCCAAAGTATTTAAAAGTGATCTCTTTTTTCTTCTCTATCTCCTCTTGCATATTGCCCCCCTCGTCCATTAATTGGTGTATCAATCTTTTTTCTTTCGTTTTCTTAAGTTTGTGGGCTAACCATCTCCCTGGCTTGTTTGCATGCTCAAAGTAGATTTGTTTAGTCATTTTCAGACTAATCTCCAATTTTTCTTGTTCCAGTAAATTTAGTTTGTGTTTAATTGTTGTTAACTGGTTCTGTATTCTTTGGTTTTTGGGGTTCTTTTGTAGTTGGGTTTCTAAATTCTTAATTTCTTGTTGTAGGTTACTTTGTTGGGCATACTTTCTTTTATTTCTCATAGCATTGTAGGAGATAGTTATTCCTCTTATAAATGACTTCTGGTGGCAGGACAGGGACGTCCAGAGGTGGAGAAGCCCAGCTGTGGCTTTTGAACACCTCTTCTCACGTTTGGAGGGATCCCCAGTGGATACACGAAACCCGTAGAGCTTCGTGTCAGAATAGAGGACCCCCCGGGTTGCTGTTTGGGGGAAGCCAACTCCCCAGCAATGAAGGAAGAGCCTCTGAGACCAGCGCGATTGAGCCAGCTGCCAGCTAATGGCGGCTCCAAAGTCCGGTCTGTCACTGAACTGACGAAGCAAAAAGTGACAGCCTGAAGGATCTGAGCAGAAAAGGGCAGAAGGACTACAAAAGCCGTGAGAGAGATCGGTCTGACTCTCCCTGTTTCATTGTGAGTAACAGTGGGGGAAGCTGGAGACAAGCGGCTAGAAAAGCAGTTTGAAAAGTGAAAGGGGGATAAATGCGGATAGAATGGCTCGACATTTAAAGTGAAAGTGTGGATTGGAGCGTTTGGAAGGAGATTGCCGAGGAGAGAAAAAGGCGGTGGGAAATTTAAGAAGCTCGGGAGTGGATTGCCATCTGGGATCAGCACCTGAGAAGACTAGAAGACTAGGAGAGGATTATAGCTGCGAAGGAGGGCAGAGCGAGCGGTAGAGAGCGAGATAGCAACGCACTGACTTTTATACGTAAGGTCCTTTTCTTTTAGCATCATTGCCTACAAAACTGATTTCTAAAGTGATCGATCTGAGGCGGACGCCCAAAGTGACTGTGGACTGACAATTGCTGGCAGAAGGGAAGAAGAAGAGGGAAGAAGAAGAAGGAAGAGACAGACGGAAGCCTGGCAAAGACTGATCGCTAAGTGCTGACAGCAATTAGTCAGCACTTCCTCCCCCTGCTCCCTTGATGCACCCAGGAGGAAAGACTATAAGACTAAAATGCCAGCCCTAACTCAGACTTGTTTTTCTATGGAACTAATCCCACAGATACGTGCCTAGTGATTCCCCAAAATTGAAAAGACCCTTTTCCTCCTGCACTCTTTCTCTCTCTCCCTTTCTTTCTTGGTCTTTCCTTTCTTTCTATAATAGTTATAAATACAAGTATAAAGGCAAACTGCTTGTTATAGTTATTAGGGTTTACTGATTAGACTCTCTTGGATATACAAAAATTTTAAGGTCTGTTAAATAGGGTTGTCTCAGATGAATTGGAACCTTAAATATTAATATACATTATAGGACAAAGGTATATATAGAGTGAGAAATTCTAGAGTTGGTTGTTTGCTTTAAACAAGTTTGATTTGATATGGTAATGATTTATTAG